AGAAGATGGTACCTTATATTGATTCGAAATTTCTCGAAAATTTTAGATCTTTTAAATAGGTATCCTTGTGCCACTTGATGAGATTTCAGCAACATCGAAAATTACCGGATATTTGTGGTAGTTATACACACCCACTATGTGTGCTTCTATTTTTCTACGAGATAGAAGATGGTACCTTATATTGATTCGAAATTTCTCGAAAATTTTAGATCTTTTAAATAGGTATCCTTGTGCCACTTGATAAGATTTCAGCAACATCGAAAATTACCGGATATTTGTGGTAGCTATACACACCCACTATGTGTGCTTCTATTTTTCTACGAGATAGAAGATGGTACCTTATATTGATTCGAAATTTCTCGAAAATTTTAGATCTTTTAAATAGGTATCCTTGTGCCACTTGATGAGATTTCAGCAACATCGAAAATTACCGGATATTTGTGGTAGCTATACACACCCACACCCCACACCCACACCCACACCCACACCCACACCCACACCCACACCCACACCCACACCCACACCCACACCCACACCCTCTAGCGGTAATCGAAACCGGTCTTGCTAGCTTTATAATTTGATTTGATTTTCGAATCATTTCTAATTTTTTCAACACACTCCACACCTAACCACACCCACGCCCACACCCCACCACACCCACACCCACCACACACCCACACCCTAGTATTCAGCGCTAGTCGAAACGCGTCGTAAGATAGCTTAGAATCTATCGAATGTAGATTTTGGAGACACATCACACCCACGCCCTAGCAGCATATCTTAAACATAATAATCACCCTCAAGTCAAAAGCGTCGTCGAGTAGTTCTTTCATAGTTCTTCAAAAATTTATACCGTTACAAAGCATGAAAATCAACACAAGAAAAAAAACTAATCAATGAACATGAATACCACTCACCGACCATTTAAGCTGAACTATGGAACAGTTATATTACAAAATCTCGCAGGCTGATGATGCATCCGTCATTTTCGATTCACTTTCAGGCCCTGAATTATTGCGTTCTGCCATTTTCCATTGAATTTCAGGCGCTGAAATACAATCATCTTCAAATTCAGTGTCCTGCCGTCTAAGTCTGTTTACAAAAGTGTCTATAAATTCAGACCGGGGTACATGTAACTCCAATACCTCTTTAATATCGTATATTACGATCCTATTTTTCAAGACAGTCACGGCGACACTTTTTAGTAAAGCCGCATATCTAATCAAAGGAAGCCAAGCATCGTCTCCCGTCTCTAAAAATAACTTGATGAATTGATCGGAAGCTAAACTTACCAACTCTAAATTGACAAACTGTGTCATAAGTGAATATAGTTTCGAAACCATACTTGAGTCTAATCCTTTCAGCGCACGATACGAATACATGGCATTTTCAAAAGTATGAACGTTGTTACTATCTAAATATACTCCGTGGCGAATGTATGTGTCCATTAGAGAAACAATTATATTGCTCGTTGCTGTTTTTGCACCCATTTTCCCGACGACTTTATACGCTTCACTTCGTACATCTGAACGTTTATCCCAAAGTGCATTCATGAGAGCAGCGATTGCTTCATTCGTAGCTGCTTTTTCGCCCATCTTTCCAAGAGCTGCACACGCTTCCTTTCGAACGCTCCAATGTTCATCCTGAAGTGCATTCATGAGAGCAGCGATTACTTCATTCGTCGCTGCTTTTTCACCCATCTTTCCAAGGGTTTCACTCGCTTCCTTTCGAACGCCCCCATCTTCATCCTTAAGTGCATTCATGAGAGCAGCGATTACTTCATTTGTTGCTGCTTTTTCACCCATCTTTCCAAGGGCTTCACTCGCTCCCTTTCGAACGTTCCAATCTTCATCCTGAAGTGCATTTATGAGACCAGCTATTACCTCATTCGTTGCTGCTTTTTCACCACTATCACTGAGGCCTGCACACGCTATATATCGGACATATGAATCTTCATCGTTAAGTGCATTCATGAGATAAGTGATTACTTCATTCGTCGGTGCTTTTTCACTCATCGTCACAAGGCCCATATACGCCGTAGCTCGGACACCCGGGTATTCATTCTTAAGTGCATTCATGAGACCATCGATTACTTCATCCGTTGCTGCTTTTTCGCCCATATCCCCAAGGGTTAAACACGCTGTTTCTCGAACACATGGATCTTCATCGTTAAGTGCATTCATGAGAGCAGCGATTACTTCATTCATTGCTGTTTTTTCACCAATCTCTCCAAGGCTTGTACACGCTGCTCCTCGAACATATGAATCTTCATCGTTAAGTGCATTCATGAGACGATTGATTACTTCATTCGTTGCTGATTTTTCACCCATTTGTGGAAGGGCTTCACACGCTAGACGTCGGACATGTGAATCTTCATTCTGAATTGCATTCATGAGAGCAGCGATTGCTTCATTCGTTACTGCTTTTTCACTCATCGTTCGAAGAGTTCTACACGATGCTTGTCGAACATCTGAACATTCATCCTGAAGTGCATTCACAAGATCATTGATTACTTCATTCGTTGCTGCTTTTTCACCCATCTTTCCAAGGGCTTTACTCGCTTCCTCTCGGGCATCTGCACTTTTATCATGAAGTGCATTCATGAGAGCAGCGATTACTTCATTTGTTGCTGCTTTTTTGCCCATCTCCCCAAGGGCGTTAGACGCGCTATCTCGGACATTATAAGATTCATCCTTAAGTGCATTCACGAGACCAGCGATTACCTCATTCGTTGCGGCTTTTTCACCCATGTGTTCAAGGTGTATACACGCCAAAGCTCGGGTATTTGAATCTTCATCCTGAAGTGCATTCAGGAGACTAACGATTACTTCAATCGTAGCTGTTGTTTCGCCCATCTTTTCAAGAGCTGCACACGCTTCCTTTCGAACGTCCCAATCTTCATTATTAAGTGCATTCATGAGAGCAGCGATTACTTCATTCGTTGCTGTTTTTTCAGCCATTTTTACAAGGGCTGCGCACGCTTTCTCTCGAACGACGAAATCTTTATCCTTAAGTGCATTCATGAGACCGGCGATTACCTCATTCGTTGCTGCCTTTTCACCCATATTCATAAGGGCTGCACATGCGCTATATCGCACGCGCGAATCTTGATCCTGTAGTACACTAACTATCGTAGAAAGTAGTTTTGGTATAGGCTCTGATATTTTTAATTTGGATATAATCTGGAGTGTGAGAAGTCTTCTCTCTTTTAAAGATCTGCGGGACAAACATTTTTTTGTCACGTCACGAATATCTCGTCCCGATTTTTTCTCGAATTGTCTCGATCGCGTTTGTCCCGTTCCGAAAAATTTTCGGGACGACTCCGATTGTGCCGTGGAGCCGGACAAACGGGATTTTTCGGAATTTGGAGCTGTTCCGCAATGCGTTAGTTTGTTTCGGGATTGTCCCGATTCCGATTGTCGGGTCCCGACTTTGTTTTGAGTTGTGGCGATCCCATTTGTGCCGTTTCGAAAAACTTTCGGGACATTCCCGACTGTCCCGCGGGATGGAACAAATGCGATTTTTCGGGATTTGGAATTGTTCCGCAGAGCTCTCGTCTGTTTATCTGAAATTGTGATGAGTTCGATTAATTTGTTTTGCAGGATGGAGTTATTGAGTAGAGAATTTGTACGTTGTAGCGATTGCAAAATATGTTCCCAGATTATGTTTGCCCTAGTGCTGATGCATATATCTAACCAATATGCGATGCGTTTTAGATAATCTGTGCGTTGACGAAAGAATGGCTCATCTCCTAGTTCATCAATGCATGCAATGATAAGTTGAATGTGCTTTAATCCGACAAGATCTAAAGGTTCCCCATCTATAGTTGTCCAAAATATCTCCATACACGATTGGTAATGAGATTGCGCAAGGAGACCTGAAGCGAACATTAAGACAAAGAAAAAATGCTGATTATACTTGTTATTATTAATAAAATCAATTGCTTTTTGTTTATTAGAACTTTTGAGTGTTTCAAGCAAGTGGCGTGCTGCAAAATATTCTTGAAAGCTGAGATGGACAAAATAATGTTGTTTTTCTGTTTGAATTTGCGTACCAATAGGTTTGTCATCATACGTTTTGAGGATGCCGATATTCAATAATTGTGGATGGTCATCTAAGGAGCACTCAATTTCATTTTCTGTATCTTCCAGTAGTGCTGGTGGCAAAATAATTTTGTTACATTCCATTGCTTTGAAAGCCAATACCTCCAAGAATTGTAATTCCTTGTCGCATTTCTCATAAATCAATTTTTTTCTCATTGATGTGTAATTAAGATTTTGTCTTTTTAAGTAGTTTCGACATAGCCATTCTATAAAGCTATCATACAATGTTGTCATTGTCAGTGTTGTCGGTTTTGCCCAATCAGTGTCGCTCCAAAGGCTACAAATCAATTCTAGATTCACAGGAATATGGGAAATACCCCAAATGCTTGGATTTGATTTTAAGAAATTTAGAAGGTTTCTGCTTTCACACGAAACGTTGGGTATCTTATCTTTACTTTGATCGAAGAATCGCTCGACATAGTTGCCAATATTATCGTTTGTGAAGCCTGTTATTGCCAGTTTTACATCATATGGCAGTGCAATAGCGTAAGGACGCGATGTCAATATGTGATGCTGTGTCTCACGTATATAGTCGAACACTTTCTTTAGTTGTTCTGGGGTGTTCTGAGAAAATTCATCATAACCATCTAGTATCCATAGAACCTGGCCCTTATTAGAAAACTCTTCAAAAAAAAATAGTTCTTCGTTGGATAAATTACCAAATGGGAAATATTCTTCCTTTACAATATCAATTGGTGAGTATTTCCTTCCCGATGGATAGTTACTATCTATCAATCTTCGTAAATAAATTAAAATAAGCAGCTTATACTCAGGCCAAATTTTGCCTTTTGCCCATTGTTGAGTAGCATATTGACAAAATGTTGATTTTCCAATTCCAGCCTGTCCAAGTACTAGGACTTTCTTTGTCTGATCCAAACACTTTTCGAAAATGTTCGTAAGGCCTATTGGAGTCTTCATACCGTAAATCTCCTCAAAAGTGCTAACGACTTGATCATCATAATGTGGTCGATAATGATTCAGCTCTTTTTCTCGTCCTTGCTTATTCTCTTCCTCTTGTTGTTTTAGTTTCTTCTCTTTTTCTAGCTGTTCTTTTGTTTCTACTATAGCCAAATTAATGTAACTCTGTTCGATTGGAAAGCTTTTTTCTTCATTTACCATCCGTTTGATCCAGTTTTCCCTTAAGTATTTTTCTTTGATCGATTCGAACAACGTTACTGATGATGAAATTGATTCAGTTGTTGGAGATGAAGGTTGATTTATTATTCTATCAATAAGTTCTTTTGCTTTCGATTGAATTTCTGAGTCAGAGTCGTCTCGAAATTTTACATAGTTCAGCGCTGATGTTATTAATCCCAACCAACTAGAGGGCGTCCATTTTTTATCATTTTTATCACCAATCATACATGGAATAATACGTATTCTTCTTTTATTAGCATATTCTAACTCAAGTTGACAGTTATGTGATTTCTGATAATCTGGCGTCATAAAGCAACACACAACATCAGCATTTTCTACACCTTCAGCCATGCTAACCAAAAAAGCAAGCGTATGGATTAAAGAAAGAACGGTCGTGTTAAGACTCATACCTGATATTGATATTATCCCCCATGCCTCCATTTACATCCATCCAAACTTTAATACCATTATCAACTAGAGTATCATAAATTTTGGATACAAGAGCTTTGCTATTCCAATTATACGATAGCATGACATGTCTTCCGTCACTGAGAGTCATTAATATGATTATGAAAGAATCAGAAGACCTACGCTCAACATCAATAAATTGCTAAAACAGAACGAAAACTTGTTGTAATATCAGTTTCTTTGATTTCATCTAAAGATTTTAATTTTTCCAGTTAGTGAATTGCTTCCTCTGTTTTGTAGATGTAGAATACTTTTGAAATAAACTACAGTTCTCTGTAATAAATCTCTCTATAATGATGCTAACAGAAAACAGATTAGATGAAATGCATGAACTTTCTAAAGAGACCTTGTGCTCTGAGACACTGTAGCAAGTTCAAGTCACACATACCATGATGAAATTTGAGCATAACAACGATATCAGAGGTTATAATTCCCAAATATTTCACATACTCTAAAGAATTTGCAAGGGCAACACATCCTTCACTGTCAGGCACGATCCATTTCATAGGACTTGGTGATATTAGCGAAAGAGCAGAATTATTTGCCCGTATCCCTAATTCTTCAGACTTTCTGGCAATTGTAGGAAACATACGATGTCATCCGTATAGTCTTGTAAAAATGTCCGATGATGTGTGCCTTTATGTATATTGTTTTTTTGTTATCTGTGAAAAAGTAAATTTTTTATGTTCGATGTCAATACTCACACTTAACAAAGGATCTCTCAAGGTGCATGTCTTTACGGGTATAAACTTTAAATATGCCTCTATTATTGATAAAAAATTAAACTGGTTTGGTCAATATCTGGCGCAGATATTTCAATCTCTTATCGCAACGGGACTTTGGGGCGCTCTGTGGAGTATCACAGTTAAGCCTAAAACTCTTTCTTTTATTTTACTTGTGTTCTGCTCTTCGGAATTGACTGGAAATGACCGAACCTAAACGTTCCAATTCAATGCAAGCCTAATATCGAACATGATTCTTGTAAAAGAGCAAACACGAAATCCTGGCATCGAATACAATCCGATGAAGTTCGAAAAGCCAATGGAGTTGAATAAAAGAAATTAATGCAATCTAGTGGAATCTAGAGGAATCCAAGAGAATCTTAAAATTCAAGATTTCGACCTATTTCAAAAAACAGAACAGCAATTTTTTTTGTTTTGGAAAAGTGTTCCAAGAAATTCTAAGGAATCTTAGCCAACATTAGGAGTCCTAAAGAACTCTGCACAATTCTGGAAATCTTAAAGAGTCATAAAAACCCTTGATATCCAAAGGAATTCAGGATTCCAAGGTTTCGCGCTTTCTCGCTCCAGTGTTTTGTCATATAAAATACTCTATTTCGATCAAACATGGGTCAAGAACCCAGGTCAATATCGCACGATCGTAAACGGCCGTCACCTAGTCAATCATGATGAAAAACGGCAACCGTGAACGGCTGCAGTTTACGTGCATCGTATACGATGCCTTACAGCTTTTTACAGCCATCATAAACTATTAACGTAAACATCCGGTGTTTACGACAACCGTAATAAATACGGCGATCGTACAATATCGTAAGACATAGTATACGTCAACGGTAAAACGTTAAGCAGAAATTCACCGTTTTTTGACGTGTTTTGTCGAAAGCGACCGCTTTCGTTGACGTACTTTTCTTATCCTATGTTACACAGAAGCCCTTTATTTACTAACCAAGGCAAATTGACTCCATATGCATGATTTTGCAAACATGCAAAAAAAGTTAGCAAAAGCAAATTTAAAATACAGACCTCATAAACGGAAGAGAACTTCATGCAGACTCACTCGAAGCCACCTAACGGTTCTGAATGATTTTTTTCCATAGATCGTCTGTAGCTATTTTTTTATTTTTCGTTTTCCATTTCAATGGTGATACGATAAGCACCACACGAGAATAAATCGGACACATGTGAAACATCTTTGTTAAGCTCCATCCACCAATGTCTTACATTAGTTACCTCCGATTGTGCCTCTAAATGTGAATTTCGGTGTCTCCGTTACCCGCACTTCCACTGCCAAAGGCCCCAATCAGGCCCCCTTCTCCAAAGCATACCATCTCTCATATTAATAAAATACAAATCTAACACAACAAAACTTAGAACAATAAAATAAATCTTCACCCATCTACATCCACGACGTCTCTTCACATTCGTACATCTATTCATAGCCTCACCTTCCCACCCAACACCCTCCACAGACCTCTTCTATAACTTTCACAATACAACCCACATGCATTCAAT